ATCAATAATATATAGTCATCTATGAAAATTAAGGGTTTCCCGGTGGCTCAGTGGTAAAGAAGCTGACTGCCAATGCAGGAGATGCAGGTTTGGTCCCTGGGTCAGGAAGATTCTCTGGAGAAGGAAATATCAATCTGCTCCAGTATTCTTGCCAGGATAATCCCATGTACAGAGGAACTGGTGGGCTACCATCCATGAGGTCACAAAGAGACACGACTTAGCGATTGAGTATGCATACATGAAAATTAATAAGAATATGAACATACATGAAATATATGGGGAAATTCTCTAAGTCAGTGTCTCAAACTTGAGACTTTGCATGTCTAATGATTTCCAGATGCTGCTGTCTAGTAACCACACCCTAAATAAGGCTTTATGTGGTCTCCTTTAAGCCTTTAAAACAGTCATTCGTAACTTCCCTTTCAAAAGATATTATATCCCACCTACAGTTACTCTCATTCAAACTTCAGTTGTTTCCTGAGACATTTTTTGCCTTCAGCATCACGTCCTTCCATTCTTGTCATTCAGATTTTTTCCAAGGTAATCTAAAATGCAAATTGAGTTAAGCTACTACTCCACTTACATTGTATGTATCTTATTGCTCATCTGGTCTCGAACCCAAATGCTTACAGGAGAAAAGTATATAATGAAAACAACTGAAGCAAAAGTGGCAGAGGAGGTCAATGAGGAATTGTGGGGACTAAGCAAGCTGAAGCACACACTCCTTTCCAAAGGAAATAGCTATTGCTGGGCTCCAGCCAAGAGTTGCTAGGTCTATGTGAAAAGATGAACTTGACATTACCACGTCTTCCATTTTTTAAAAGGAGCAGGAAATCTGGATTTAATTTTTGATAAAAACGTCATTATCTTAAGATTGGTAGTGAATTTTTAAAAATCCTGATCCCCCCCACAAACAAACTACATAAAATCTCCAGGCATGAGATCCAGATGTCAGTATTTTTTCAAAGCCCTTGTGCAAAGTAATTCTAATGTGTACCAGCTGCAAAGGGCCTCAACTGAAGCAAGAGTGGACACTATAAAATTTGGGGATTATAGTCCACCATGGTGGTATGAAAATGACTTTAAATTGAAGATAGCTAAACATTTAGCAGCAGCAGAAAGAAGTATTACCTAAACTTAAACGAAACCTCCTATACAGCTTCCCATGACCCCTTCCCCTAAGTAACTATGAGTTTGGCTGCCACAAACCCTCCCTCGGGACACACCTAGCCAGGAAGAAGACAGACTGCTCATCTAACCATCAAGAAGCCAAATAAAATCTTCCATATTCTCCCATTGAAGCCCTAAAAACTTTTCTTTTGAAAAATTGATCTTCGTAAAACTTTACTTTGGGCTATTTCATGAGTTTTCCATTACTAGAACTTCCCATGTACACCATGTTAAAATAAACCTTGTCTTTACCCCTGTTAATCTGTATATTTTCAGCTAATTTGCAGGGCCCTAAACACTGGACCCAAATTGGAAAAGGTTTCCTCCCGACAGAATTAAATGTTGGTTGCTGAAGGCAGTTCTTCAATAAACATTATTTCTGATGTACAGAAGAAGGAATGATTATGTCTTCTCAAAGGAGACAATAACGAAGTGTTTGTTAATATATTATTTTAATAGCCCCTACAAACAACTCTGAGCTCCAAACTTTGAATTCAAGCCTTGGGGCACCAAACTGACACAGGATAAAACCTAAGAGTATTTAAGGTTCTTAACCAAAGGGTGGTTTATAATCATCCATGCCTGCTATTTCTTTACCTGTTCCATATATAAAAGGAAAATATTTTTCATGTTTAAAGAAAGTATAATTTAATACTCATTGTGAAAATTACTCACAGTTAAAAGTTGTATTAAAATTTTTTTTGAGTTCATTTCTTTCAGTACAAGTATAAATAAAGTTTATTAAAATATTTGAAAGTTGTCATATTTTGTATTTGAATGCATTCCAGGAAGCAATGAGAGAGGAATTTTCAATGTTTATTTAAAAGGAACATACTGAGTAGACTAACAAGCAATACAGAACAACTCACTGCTGTTCGTCTTAGCTGTCAGAACAGAATCACCTACTTTCCTCTGTGTTACCAGATTATCTATATGTGGTTCATTAATGAGTCCTCAGCTTCAGGCCTTATATCTATGTTAAATCTCCTTTGAAAGAAACATTCCCCTTCTTATCCTTATACCCATACTCCAATAAAATAAAATAAAATCCAAGTGTAATATTCTGCTTCCTGTGTAAGGACATAAAAAATTGGATTCCTCCTCTAAGAATGAGGAATGTCATTGTTAAAAACCACAGATACAAATATTTGGATGTTTACACCATGGATGGGGGAGGAAACATTTTTGGAGGCACTTTCACAAATACTTTCTGATTGAATGATTCATGGTTCCTTCTTACAGGTGGGTAAGGTGAGTTTGAGAGAGGTCAAGTGTACCCAAGACTGCATAGTGAGTGACAGCTGGAATTCAAACGTGTTTTTTCCTATGTGAATGCACTTTTATTTTTAGAAAACACGCTAGCACAGGTGGGAAGAGTTAGTAAAGATGGCTCAGGAAAATGCTTGACCAGCAAAGGTCTCTAGGTCCTTTCAAAACCCGAACGTTGTAAACAGGACCAGCATTGTGGGTAAGTGACCTGTGCCACACGGCATTCGTTTAGAAGGCCCCATACTTGGTTTAATATGCTGTTGCTGCTGTATTGAGATTTCAGTAACTTTTTGAGAAAAGCTTCCATATTTCCATTTTAAACTGGATCCTACAAATTATATAGCTTTTCCTTCCTGCAAAGGCTGACAAAGCAAAGGTAAAGTTTATAGAGAAGAACCTCCCTTGAGGGGTTAGTTCTCAGGGTCAGGGCGACGTGGCTTTCTGGAGCAGAGTAAGGTCAGATGCCTTAGGCAGGAGACAGGCCAGGGGACAGCCTTCTGGGTGTGATGCCTTCTGTCCCCACCTGCCTCGTCATTGTTTGCCAATGTACCTTTTCAGGAAAGAGCATCAGAGCCCCAGCCCAGTACCAGCCAGAGGAGATAAACAGGAAGGGACTGGGCTCTGACCAGGCGGACATCTCACGTATGAAAGAGAAGCAGCCCGACTCTTTCTTAGCGTGCCTCTTCAACTCTCCCTCAGGTGAGCTGAGAAGAATATGGGAAATGGCTCTTTGGAACAAAGCAGGGTTCAGAGTCCAACCAGTGGGAGGTCCTCCTAGGAGTCCCCTCCTTTGCGTGTGTCTGGGATCAAGGAGCAAGCCAGAAATGGTAGACCCCTAATACTAACAACAAGTTCTCAGAGGCATCTCTTTGTACCTTGAAGCCAATTCACCCAGAAAAGGCCAAGCTGGCCCTCACCCCTCCATGCCTTGATGGTTGCTGATATCCCAAGGGGATGTTAGTTAACTCACAGGGGAAGGTAACACCTGATGCACAAAATACAAACTGAAGTACGTAAGTGTGAGAACTGAGACTCAAACTGGACAGACCAAAAATTTAATATATGAAGAAAGCACACATTAGGATATAAAGAAGGACATTAGATAGATGAAGCAGGAAAAAAATGATGACGCAGAATCAGTGTGAGGGATTGGGCACGAAAAACCTAATAGCTGAAGTGGAGAAGTCAGCAGAAAAGTTGAGCAGCAAGGAGTTCAGTAGAAGAGTCAGTGGACTAGAAGGTCAAGTATTGTAAGGAATGAAGAAATGGAAGGCGACCAACATTATGAAGGGTAGAATTAAGACATCAGTGTCTATGTTTCGGTACTTTCCAAAGTTATGCTGCATCTAGAAATTATCACAGTGAAGATCACAAAGAATTATGTAAGTTAGATGCAACCAGTGTTGTGGAAAGAAACACAAGAAATCTATGCCTTAATAGAATTCATGCAGATTGAAAATATGTAACTCTGTATACATTTTAAGAATGGGAATATGTCTAAAGACATAGACTGTTAGAGTAGATGCCTATGAGAATGGGGATATGAGGAAGATAAAGATTAAGGGAAAATAATAAATCAACAAGCCAACCCTGAGATCTAGGATGAACTAGAGTTTGTGTAACTTTACGCTGTTGGTGATGGACAGGGAGGCCCGGCGTGCTGTGATTCATGGGGTCACAAAGAGTTGGACACGACTGGGCGACTGAACTGAACTGAACTGACGCTGAGGACCAGACACTTAAAAATAAATACAGAAAGATAAGGATGGCTAGATAGGCAAAAGGAGGCTAAGTCACTCACTACTTACTGAGTATATGGAGTAATACTCAGCTTCTGTATGAGATCTATAACTAGCTCCTGGGTGACTCAGGACCCTGAAAAGTAGTAGCCAACTTGTCTGGAACGAGGAGGAGCTTATATTCTGAAAGTCCATTTGTAGTAGAGTGAGAGCAGCGAATACTTTAAATCAGTATCAAGATTTAAGAACTTTCTGTTATTAATATCTTGGGTGGTTGATAGTTGTAGGTACAGCTAAGTCATGAAGCTCTGGAAAACAATGGGCCAACACTACTAGGCAATGGTTGGACATAAGGATGTCAAAGCAAATACATTTTTATATGTTTGGGTGGATGGGTTTGGAGGGGTGGTGGGAGGGGAAGCAGCAGGTTGTGTTTACCTAGGACAGGTTTTTTTAAAAAATCAAAATGGAGCACCAGAAAACTTGGAAAATCTTTACAGACTCTCACATGTACAAATAAGTCAATTTCCAAACAACAAGACACAGTGGCAAGAGGAACACTGCTAGAGGTTGTTCTTCTCCTCCTGCTCTCAACACCTGATGGTTCCATTTTACACATCTAAGCACCTCCAAGTGGTTGCCCGACTGGTAGCAATTACTTTTTGCAAAACTAAGAACATGAAACAAGTTAAGGAAAATACAAATGCAAACAGCGAGCAAACTATACAAACGAGTTTTTACTACACCACTGTATTACCTATAGAAGTGTATTCAAGAGAACTCCATGCAGTTTTTAGTTATTTTTTTTAATGAATCTCTTACCTTTGCTTTTATTATCAGTTCTTCATGCTTACGAATAAGCTCCTCATTGTCTGAAAGAGATGTACCTAGACCTTGTTCCTCTAAATCTCTTATAGTTTTCTGAAACCAACAAGTGACCTAGGTAAGAAGCAACATAGAGAGGTCAAATTTCAGCTATTAGAATGAATGAATCAAAATTCTCCACATTTTCAAGACATAAACTACTTCAATTTCTTTTTATATAAACTCATGTGTTTCATTAATATGATCAGGTTTTTTCTTCATTTCAATCTTTTCATTTTTCTTCATTTCAGTCTCTACATGCTTAAGAGAAAAAGCAAAATAATACCCCCAAGTTATAAAAACAACATATCATTTCACTGGATCATATAGCATGAAGAAAATAATTCAAATTCAAAATCTCCTAACAAACAAGAACCAAAATAGATCCCACACAATCTACAAACCATGCATTCTTTCAGAATATAAATCTTTTCTGTATATGATGATCAATCTGAGTATAGTTACATAGTTATGTGAAGATATTAAATAGCATTTGTAGAACTATATTTCTACTATTAGAAGACAATGCACAAATACTTAGTTTGCTACAACTCCTGAATATCTATATCCAAAAAAAATGAATGGAGAAGCTACTAAAATTCCATAGACCTTATAAATGGCTAAGGACATAACTTACATTCATTTAGACTTGATTTGCAATATGCACCTTACACAGTGTTAAAACAACAAATAATAGAAGACATAAAAGAAGCTGCGTTTTTTAAGAATGATCATATAAGTTGACATGAGACTGATTAAAAAAAAATTCCCTGATAACTCAGTTGGTAAAGAATCCACCTGCAACACAGGAGACCCCAGTTTGATTCCTGGGTTGGGAAGATCTGCTGGAGAAGGGATAGGCAATATAAACCAGTCAATCCTAGAGGAAATCAGTCCTGAATATTCATTGGAAGGACTGATGCTGAGACTGAAGCTTTGATACTTTGGCCACCTGATGTGAAGAACTGATTCATTGTAAAAGACTCTGATGATGGGAAAGATTAAAGGCAAGAGGAGAAGGGGACAACACAGGATGAGATGGTTAGATGGCATCATCGACTCAATAGACATGAGTTTGAGCAAACTCTGGGAGTTGGTGAGGACAGGGAAGCCTGGCGTGCTGCAGTCCATGGGGTCGCAAAGAGTTGGATAGGACTGAGCAACTGAACTGAACTGAGACCGATAACATGTGACCCCAGGATACAGATTCTTTATCCCAATTAAAGGAGAGTTGGATTTTTACTCTCAAATCTTATACAGCATGATTCTTATGATCACATCATAGCTACTGATTCCTAAGAACCCACTACACGCTAGACAGTTTGCTAGTTGTTTTCTGGGTATCATCTCTTTTTCTCTTAACAACTCTGTAACAAGTATGATACTATACTGACCTTGCAGAGATGAACAGAGGTTAAGCAACTTGTCCAGGGCCAATAGTAAACGGCAGAGCTAGGATTTGTCCCCAAACCTATATTATTCCAATGGCCATGCTCTTTCCACTGTGCCCTGTTGCTATCCTCAGACTTAAAAGAAAGTCTTTGGTCATCAGGGGAAATTACTTCACATTTGAAAAATGAATCCCAGCAGCCCACTCAAAGTGGTGGGCGTTGTCCAGAATATACACTGTGTCTTTCTTCATCCTAGTTTGTCTTGTCTACAGCAGCCTCAGGATTTCTCTGTATTTTTATAACATGGAGAAATGTGGCCAGGGAGAAAGCTAGGTTAGTCCTAAAGTCCTGAAGGTCCACACAATAAACATATACCACCCCACCCCGCCCCACACACACACTACACGGAAGTCAAGTTAGGGATTACGTAGAATAATACCCTCCATTACTGTTACAGGGCTGATAACATCACACAGCCAGATCTATACTTGGTATAAGTGTTGGTTGTCTATACCAAGGCTTAGCATTTTCCAGCATGGAATAAGCAGTCAAGTGGGCAGCAAGACGGTTTCTCCAGCTTTCTGCTAATTGGAAATCTTTGTTAACCCCAGCATTTTAGGCTAGTGTCAGTGCAGAGAAAAGACTAATAGTGACCCTGAAGCAGTTTTCATGTGAAGTCTGCCTCATTCTCTTCAGAATGTTTGGTACTCCGTGCATAATACACCCGTTAGCCAGTCCCCATATCTAAAGTACTGTGTTTATGTATTTACAACTATCTGAAGGTGGTTTGTCTTTCTGGCATCCCAGAAATTAGACCTAAATGATATGTATTACATGCATATTAGAACCCATGGAGAATATTTTATCAAGAGCTACAAAATTTGTACATTAATTTATTAAATTGCATTAAAAATCTCACAAAATATGCTATAGGCCTGCACAAAAACAAAAAAGGGATGATTTAAGGGTTTCATCAAAGAAAAATGGCTCATGAATATAGCTAACTTTCAGAAATCCTTTATTTTATTAAGTGCCAGGAGTGAGCTTCATCTATTTTTATCTAAAGTAGTAGGAACTCAGAAATCTCAAGAATGCTTTAATAGGGAAAGTTAATATAGAATCTGAGTGAAGAAAACATGGGGACAAACAGGTGCTCACTAATCTCTAAAAACAGGTGAGAAGTCTGATCCCTCAGATAATCCTGTTCGATTTTGTGAGTCAAAGATTTGTCATTTAACACATGTCAGCAGTGATGAATGCCAGGAAGGAGTTAGTTATCTTGATTTTTTAAGGTATCTTCTGACATCATCCCCTAGATTTGGCAAATACTATTTTAACCTCCAAAGGCTATCACTCTTTTGGGCATGGCCATACATATTTCCTATAAGAGAATGTAGTTCAAGATCTATAGTGGTATTTTATATATCCTGGTCATACACCTGCCTATTAAAGCATACTGAGTCTCTAAAGCTATACATTTTTTACTACCTAAATGCACCCTGGGAAGAAACTTGAAAACAAAGTGGCATAACACTCAGAAGAAAATGGTTCATCATGGGGGTGTTAAATCTCACCATGAGGCAGTCACACACATGACTAGCATCTTAGATCAGATTTACTTTATGTGCTGTGGGATGCACACAGAATAGACTGAGTCTTTCTGATGTAAAAGCAAGACATCCTAAATAAGCAACAGCATGTCAACCATAATGTAAATCAGTCATTGTATCCTGTGAGTAGCTACTGCAGACAGCTGCATAGATACTCCAAGAACAATTTTTATAAGCATTAGATTATATCAGCAGTTATCCCAAAGCCTGAGTGATAAGGACAATAAATGATGCACCAGGACATTCTTTAGAACATGGTCCCTGCAAAAGGATAAAAAACATGAGTTAGGAGCTGGAAACATGTGGAAAGAAAGAAAGAACAAAAATTCAGAGTGTGCACACTGGAAATTGGTTCTGGGTGATGATGGACTAAGGGGGAAAATGAGAATATTGTTTCTTTCTCTTCCTGGTTCTTACCTTTTAGATTGATCTAAGTGATGTGTTTGTGGTCATCTCACCCGTCTGACATGAGATTCTAAGTACTCAGTGCTCAGAGGATGTAGAACTCAGGTGGAGAAGGAATGGGGCAGATTTTTTTGCAGAGGGGAAGTGGGGATTGGAAAGAAACACCTACCAGAGGGTGAAGGAAGACAGAGTGAAAAGGAAGGGACATCAACAAAGATGCACAGAAAGAGCAATCAGGGATGTTCAGTAAAAACCAAGGGGTGCCTTGGAAGTTAAATAGAGATGCCAGGAAAACTCAGTCAAATGGTACAGACCTGGATTGTCCTAAACAAGTAGCTACTAACCACACATGGAATGTGTGGAATGTGACAAACTCAAATTGGGATATGCTCTAAGTATAAAATGCACAAATGATTTCATACACTTAGTATAAAAAATAATGAAAATATATTGTTCAGATTGTTAATATTGATTCAGTGTTGAAATACTATTTTAGATACGTTGGATTAAACAAAATGTGTTCTTGCTTTTCACTTTTTTATGTGTGTGTGTGCATGCTCAGTCACTTCAGTCGTGTCCAACTCTTTGTGACCCCAAGGAATGTAGCCCGCCAGGCTTCTCTGTCCATGGGATTCTCCAGGCAAGAATACTGGTGTGGGGTGCCCTGCCCTCCTCCAGGAGATCTTCCTGACCCAGGGATCAAACCTATGTCTCCTGTGTCTCCTGCATTGCAGGTGGATGCCTTATCATTGTGTCACCTGAGAAGCCCATTTTTACATGACTTTACTTTTTTCCACTTTTCAATGTGGCTAAGAAAATTAAAAATCACATTTATGGCTTATATTGTATTTCTTATTGGATGGTTCTATAATTTAAGGATATTCAGAATATCCTTAATCTGTTAAATGTAGATCTAAGGATGAAGTATTAAGGACAATTTAAAATAGAAGAATCAAGAGAACAGTGGGATGAGATACTGGTTGGTAAACACGAATGGGTCACTGAGTAGCGGTGAGACAGTAAAACTAATGACTCTTTTGAAGAAGTTTATTGGCTAAGGAAGGGGGGCTCAGACAACAGCTTTGAGGAAAGCAGAGGTAACGTAACAGACGGGTTCTTCCCAACTATTTTTATTGGTTAGATGAGATGTAAGCATTTCAGTCTGGGGAACTGAAGATGCATTAAGGAAAACTGAGGCAGGAATGTACCAGAAAGAGTGGGGAGTTTGGAAGAGAACACTACTGAACTTATCTGCTTTGGGCAAGGAAAGGCTAGTTTTGGCAATACTGAATAACCCAGTCTCACCTTGACCCCTGCTGGGAGATAAGACTGAGAGTGAACAGGGCCTTCCCAGATCAGAGTCAGGTACTGTTCCAGGCAGGTCTCAGATTATCTCCACAATCTTTACACCTCCTACAAAGGAGACAGTTGCTTTTTCAATAGATATGGAAACTGAGATCCAGTCAGGGTAAGAAATTCATTCAAGGTCACATAGGCAACAGGAGGAGATTCCCACAGGGAGAGGAAGAAAGGCTGTGGTCAGAGTGTTCTTCCCTTCACCACATCTGTCTGGAGAACCAAAGAACTCCAGGGAAGAGGAATGGTTCTTATTAGGCTATGTTTATGAGTGTTCTTAAGAGAAAACCAAAATGCAACAAACACTACAGTC